ACACACACACACATATGGCCAACACCGAGCCAACACTAACAGGGGAGTATCCTCGTATGTTAGTGCTGTCTGACTCACACATTGAATTTTGTGTACGTCTGACTCACTAGTCCTTCCGTTCCACTTAGATTCTATTGTAATAATCTTCCTAATAGCAAGACAACTTAGGTTGACTCTTTCCTAACTTACAAAACTCTCCAGAATCTTGTTAAACGAAAGCCTGTTTTGATTGCTGCCAAAAACAATATTATACCACAAGCAGAGAAGACTCTTTATCTTTGAATAAAGCATACACTTAATATATAAATTATGTTATACTCTTTAAGGATAATGTTATTTTGTTAAAACAATTATCCAGCTTGGGCTACCTTCTGTTTTCTGTAATACAAACACCTCGACATCAAGCAAAGCTACAGTTAACAGTTAGTTATGCAGAAGCAAGAGAGAGAGAGAGAGAGAGAGAAAGAAAGAAAGAAAGAAAGGCTACCTGCTATGCTTCATCAATGCAGAAATGTCCAACACAAGTCCTTTTCCCAATCTGAGGATCTAAGGGACTGACGAGGAATGTGGGAAGTTTCGAAGTTTTCACTGGACTCAGTGAATCCGCAGTGCTTGCCAAAGCCACAGACGGTGTCCTCAGCATCTTGCTATGCATGACCGGCCAAGTCAAGCAGGAAAACATAAACTATGGATGGAACAACATAAGGCAGTCACTCACAAATATGACGTCAGTGCAGATAATTTAAAACACCCACTGACACCCAGAGCAGCATTTGGATAATAGAAAAGTTAATTTTTTATTTTTTTTTTAACAAACAACAGTTTTATGGTCCATTATATGCATTCACAGTGTGACATTTTGTCTCAGAAAGTGTGCAGTATGACAGCCAGAACACATGATGATGTTGGAGTTGATTTGTAGCACTGAACTCCCAAAACTTTGAGATAAGACAACACTGTGAAAGCACCAAGCACTTTTTAATTTAAAGAAACATCAATCCTAAATTTAAATATAAATATCTATCAGCAGTGATGCGGTTGTCTATAGAGTGAGATTTTCTGGTTTAAATACTGGAAAACCCCTTTGATTCTGACACATCTTGAAGGTGGGGTCAATTCTGAAGAACTGCTTAGGGATGGATCATTGTAGGCAACTGTTTGAATTTTTTTTTTTTTTTTGCTTGTTTCCTCATTTGCTGATGCTGAGGGAAGCTAGAGATGAATGGTAACCAAAAGGAGAAGAGAAAGAAACTGCTAATGCTGAATTATCTGATCATATAAAACATAGGCTGGCTTTCTTGAGAACTACTGAGTTCTCATAAACTTCTCCAGCAAAAGAAATTATTTGTCATGTGAGGCAAATGGAGCAAAAAACCTATTACCCTTAAAAACTAGAAGGACACATAAAATGACCAGACCTTCAAAAGTGTTTCTTCTTATATTTCCTAAAGAATTCTGTAAGACATCTGTGGATGAGTGAAATCTAACCCTTAAATATATCAAATATGATTCATCCACTGAGTTTAGAATTGGCAATGTAAAAATAACCATAGACGGACAACTTATGAAAATGATACTGATGAATATATTCATTAAATTATCTCAATTTAACCATATATGTTTAATATCTTATTTGTTGTGTTATGTGGTATTGTGGTATTTTGTAGGATGATAAATCCTGAAAGAATTTTTTTTTAAGTGTGTATTTACAAGTATGCAGGAAGCACCACAGACAGCATGGAAACTATTAGAGTGTATAATAAACATAAATTATTCTTAAAAAAAAAAAAAAAAAAAAAACACTGTAATTAATTTTATATTTAATAAAACACTGACAACAATGGTCTTTAGCCTTTGGTTTGTAACATTTATTATTAATTTATTACTAGTAATTATCACTGTGTGTATGTATGTACAGTACAGTACAGTACATATGCATGTGTGTATGCATTATTTTTGCACCATTCACACCTAGAACAATTTATCTTAGCCAGTCCACCTGCTGGCATGTTTTTGGAAGGTGGGAGGAAACCAGAGACCCCGGAGGAAACCCAGAACATGCAAAACTCTACACACACAATCTTCTGGGCTCAGGATCGAACCCAAGTCATTCACTTCACTTCCTTCATTTTAATTAAAATCTCTGCTCATCGAGCGCCCCCTAGTGACCGGGCCCCTGAGCACGTGTGCAGTATCTCTGAGGTTAAGTGGATGAAAACATACCTAAAGTAAAGTAGGTTATATACGTCGTGCCTTTTTCTTTTGGATGTGCCCTGATGCACTTACACACATTTGACCAGCAGATGTCGCCACTGTTCGGTGTTTAGACACTGAATCGGTTTCTCTACGATAGTGATCAATTCCAAGCTTGAATGCATATTTGTCCCATCCGTCACTGACAACAGGAAAAGAATACATCCATAACTCAAAGCAAAAACCAAGACTGTGCTGCACCATTGGCAATAAAGTGTTCAAGTCATTCAGACTTTCAGAATCCAGACCAGACTTGTTAACTGCTCAAGAGTGATTATGATTAAGTTAGTTTGGGGTAAAACTTTTAACACTCGTTTCTAAGTGTAGCAAAATAATTACTGTATGAATACATTAAAGGTGCATTAGTCTTTTTTGACCTTTTTTTTCTACTGGACCCTCCCTTTCCTGTCTATGTATAAAAGCCACGCCCCTTTTGTTGTTACGTCACTGGTTGCTAGCTTGCCTCCATGTTCTAACCAACTATTCTAAACTGGAAGGATGGTGAATGTATGAGTGGACATTGGCAAAATTTTTCAAATTATTTCAAAAGGAGAGTATAATATGAGTTATAGAGAGAAAAGAGAGCATGAGAGGAAAGGAGATAAGGAAAAAGAGAGCGAGAGAGAGAGAGAGAAAGTGAAGAGAAAGCTGGCTTGATGGCTAGTTAGCATAAACAGCTAATAAGCCAGGTAAATGGGTTAATATGGGAGATGGTATTGTAAAAACTGGGAGTGAGAAACAGGGCTGATGGAATGGATAAAAATTGATACAAACTGATCCAAATGACCTATAAGGTTTTCGGCTCACTGTCACTACCAGTGTTAGCTAGTTAACCTGGTTAGCTGCATGGGTGTTAGCTAACATTACATGGTCTGCATTCTACTATAAAGTTGGTTCATTGAAAGCATCACATTACCTGGCTTTCTAAGTAAGAAAATGTATCAGCTTGATTCATTATGTAACGCCTGTTCGACACTTTATACAATTTGTGTTTACATATCTGTCCAGGAGCAATGTTGCTAATTCTGTGTCCATCTGCATTGCCTTCGCCAGTAATAAGTTTGGACTCTTGGAAAAGCAGTACCAATGTTTATTCTAGTTTCACTATGTTTCACTTGTACTTCACTTGTATGTCATTGCCTAATAGTTGATTTTGTTCTTCATGGTGTCCAGGTTATTTGTAGGTTACTAATATGAAAAATGAAATGAACTGTTGCACTTTCAGTCTATCGTCCAATATGCAAATTATAAGAGGATGTTACAGAAACTAAACTAGCCTGATGGCCAATTAAGTTAAGAACAAATTTTGCCAGGATTGGTGACTGTTTTATAAATCCCTGAAAATATAACAATACAAACTGACACTTTGATATTGACACATATTTGCGTCTACCTGCAACTAATTTAGATTACTAGCAGTTAACAGCCAGCTAAGTGTTAATGCTACCTACAGCACAAGCACATCTGTACAACAGGACATTACGTCAATAAATGCAAGTAGCTAACTGAATTTTCCACTACATTTCTACATTTTAGTTTCATTCCAGTCCATACAGTTTCTCTATTTTGGTGACCAAATGAATCAACGACCGTCTAAATGACTCAAATGACCTTTTTTCCCTTTCTTTTTTCTTTTTTTCAGAGCATTTCAACAAGCTGTAATTTCATCAAGGAATGGTCAAAGTAAAAACACTTATGCGCTTTTGCTTGTTCTGCTGGCTAACTAATACAATATTAAAAAGCTGAGAAGGAAAAAAAACAGTCTTTGTAAATAGTAAAATAAAAATAGTTAATCTGAGATTAATGCAGAAAATGTTTAATCAAAAAGCAAAGCAATGAGGACTGGCATCAGTAGTAACATTATTATTCTACTATATACATTTTGACAAAGCAGACAAGCAGTAGACAGGAAAAGCTCTGCAGGGTGGCATTAGGAAGAAACCTGGAAAGGAATCAAAACTAAGAAGCGGAACTCATTTTTTTATGGCTGCTCGTGATAGTGAGCCTAATGCTGTAAGCTGACACATGCCTTTATCTGAAGCACACGTACCTAATATAGAGCAGTTCCCTTGTATTCACTGGTGTTGGTTGTCAGTGCTTGCCATAGAGGCAGATACTAGACCCCCAACTGTGGAAGGCTTATTGGGACTTGGGCTTCAGCTATATAACATTATACTTCCACAGACAAGCCTTTGGCTGGATCGCAGACATGTTTTCAAATCAATACTTTTCTCCCTGGCATCCCAAAAAGTAATTCTGACATGATTGTGCAATGAATAACTACGCAATATAAACATCAGGATTATGTCTGCTGGTAGGAAGCACATGACATATAAGCATAAACCAATTTTTTTTTGTTTATTTTGTTCATCATAACTCAACTTCCTGTATATTCACCATATTTCCCGATAACTGTCTGCATTATGGTAACTTTACTATTCCAGTTTCTTATTTTTCATTCATTCATCTTTAGTAAGCACTTTACCCTGATCAGGGTCCCAGTGGATCCAGAGTCTATCCTGGGAATTGCCAATCCATCTACTTGTATGTTTTTGGGAGGTGAGAGGAAATTGGATTACCCAGTGGAAACCCACACAGAAACAGAGAGAACATGTGAAACTCCACACAAACAGTAACCCAAGCTCATGATCAAACCAGGGACATTTACGGCATTTGGCAGATGCCCTTATCCAGGGCAACTTCCACTTATCTTGTTTATGCAACCGAGCAGGTGAGGGTTAAGGGCCTTGCTCAAGGGCTGAGATTTGAACTCACAACCTTACAATCAGTAATCGAACAGCTGAACCACTGAGCTATCACTCAGTGTAAGGCAGCAACTCTATCTGCTGATCCATTTTTCTTAAGTAGATGTGTCTGCGATGATATTTTTCAGTAGTGTCTAGACCACCACCTTTAAACACAAGCACTTGCTTTTTAGCCTGAAAAAAAAAATCAGGGATAGAAAATATGGACTGTAGAAGGAAATAGCCTTTCATCTTTGATGTCACTGCAAATTTGGTTTAATCAACCCTTGTTATTTGGAAGCATGTAAAATAGCACTTGATCTATTATATTGTGTTTTGTTTATTTTTGTTTTTTAATGTCACAGACTGACAGATAATTGTTTGCACAATTTAATGAAACCACGAGATACTAAGTAGAGGACGTGGAATTGTATTGTGTGCACAGGATATAAGCGATTTTATTGTGCTTTTAATTTGCTATTTTAATTTCTTGATTTAATAAAATAATGCCATTGTTTTTGTTAATTTAATGCAGGTTTGAAGGATAAGCTGACCAAGCACTCATCTGTTATAGCTCACTTTAAGTGTTGTTCAGAATTTTATCTATAAAATTATGCTCCTTGAGATAAGCAATGTTTCTGATTTAAGAGCACAAAACATGACGTTGTGTTTACATTAAAATGTCAGACAATGGTGCTGGATGTAATACTGCTGCTTGTTCCAGCAGGCAAGAAAAATAGGCTTACACCGATTGGCCATAACATTAATACCACTGACAGGTGAAGTGAATAACATTGATTATCTCCTCACAGTGGCACTTGTCAAGGGGTGGGATATATTAGGCAGCAATTGAACAGTCAGTTCTCAAAGTTGATGTGTTGGAAGCAGGAAAAATGAGCAAGTGTGAGGATCAATGGGCAAGTGTAAGTATAAGGTAAGCAGTGGTTAGTACCTACCAAAAGTGGTCCAGGGAAGGACAACCGGTGAACTGGTGACAGGGTCATGGGCGCCTAAGGTTCATTGATGCATGTGGGGAGCGAAGGCTAGCCCGTCTGGTCCGATCCCACGGAAGAGCTACTGTAGCACAAATTGCTGAAAAAGTTAATGCTGGCTCTGATACAAAGGTGTAAGAACACACAGTGCTCACAGCTTGCTGCATATGGGGCTGCATAGTACGGACCAGTCAGAGTGCCCATACTGACCCCTGTCCACTGCCAAAAGCACCTACAATGGACACGTGAGCATCAGAACTGGACCACTGAGCAATAGAAGAAGGTGGCCTGGTCTGATGAATCATGTTTTCTTTTACATCATGTGGAGAGCCGGGTGCGTGTGCGTAGCTTACCTGGGGAAGACATGGCACCAGGATGCACTATGGGAAGAAGGCAAGCCGGCAGAGGCAGTGTGATGCTCTGGGCAATGTTCTGCTGGGAAACCTTGGGTCCTGGAATTCATGCAGATGTTACTTTGAAATGTGCCACCTACCTAAACATTATTGCAGGCCAAGTACACCCTTTCATGGCAACGGTATTCCCTAATGGCAGTGGCCTCTTTCAGCAGGATAATGCGCCCTGCTACACTGCAAAAATTGTACAGGAATGGTTTGAGAAACATGACAGAGAGCTCAGGGTGTTGACTTGGTCTCCAAATTCCCCAGATCTCAATCCAATCAAGCGTCTGTGGGATGTGCTGGAAAAACAAGTCCGAGCCATGGAGGCCCCACCTCTCAACTTACCGGACTTAAAGGATCTGCTGCTAACGACTTGGTGCCAGATACCACAGCACACCTTCAGAGGTCTTGTGAGGCACTAGGGGGACCTACAAGATATTAGACGGGTGGTTTTTATGTTGTGGCTGATAACATAACGGTGCATGTTCAAGTTCAGAAACATGTATAACTGAGACACGCCTCTGTTTTCTGCAACTCCACCCAGCCTGCGTCTGTAGCTCTGAAGTCTGAGGTCTGAGGTGTTGTGTGCTCAGTTTCGCTTTTAAATTCTCATTACAGGCGCTTATCTAAACTCTCACATCCTAGACCTACTTTACAAGGACTTTTCCTGGTCAGGTGTGAAAGAGTTAATAACTAAACCGCTCCCGCAGACTGTGTGAACAGAGCGGGGAAAAAAAAACCCCGGCTCTGTCCTAAACGCCTCCGTGGTGCTGCAGTGTGCTGCCTAGGGTGTAGTAGCCTTTGTTTTAGACACTGTTTAGGGGACCTATATAGACGAAGTCATTTGTGATTGAACTAACGTACTTCGGGAAGTCCGTGGAGTTTGAGGGGAAATTCAGAAGCAAGTTGCCTTTTGTTAAAGGAACCTGCTGTGGAGAAGTGAAATTTAACGCGCTGTGAACTGTTATTGTGTTAGCCTGCTAGCATCAGCCTATTCCATCACCAGATGGGAAGAAGGATGTTTTGCAAGACTGGATGAACGTCTCATGAAATTGCCTGATAATATCTGAAATCTTTCTTTGTTATAAATCTTCGAGACACAATGCTGAAGATGCCGAGATTCAGCTTCCAGCTGCCTGTTTATGTGGCCCTGAAGCTCGCCTTCTCTTCTGGTAAGTAAACAAAGCTAACCTGGCTTACTGTAAAACGAGTTGACATTGGTTAGTTAGCTGGTTAGCTGTACTTGTTAACTGGCTAACAGCCTATAGGAATTTGAGTGCTAATAAACATCATTTGTAACATATTTAAACATTTTTTCTCTTGGTTAGTTGTTGTGCTAGTGACAACATTGTTAGTTAACGCGAGTGTATTGGTAGAAAAAGCTATTTACGCTGGCAGTCTGAAAATAACAGTAGGCTAAGTCTAGCTAGAATTACTGGTTATGTTGTTAAATAACTTTTGGCTCACTAGCTGACAGAAAGAAATAGAAGCTTAATATAAATATAATCAATATAAAAGATTTATATCCATTGGATATAGAGCTGTGTATACATAACAGCTGTAAATGCGACGGTGGATGTTGTTTAGGCGACATTAATATTAGGTTAACAAAATGTTGCGTTGTTCCTGTAACTAATATGTAGGTAAATATTAAATATTTAAAACAAGGCATTTGAAATGTTACAAGCAGAATGCGATGCGTGAAACATCATATTTTGAGTGTGTATTTGTGCGCACATGTTGTATTGGTGTGTGAAATGGTGAAAATGGACGTTAGGCCTCATCTTAGGCCTTCTACAGTGTGACATTGACCAGAGGTGCCATTAACGACCATAACTAGTAAAGGCTTGTTAGTCGTTTTAGATAGCCTGTGCTATAAATATTCATAAACCTGTAATGTCAGGAGAAAGGAGCTGAGACATGCTCCCAAAGTCGCTGGAAATCGTCGGATGACGTCATGTGCTGATGTTTGGTGAATTTGCATGAAACGTGTTTTCTGAAGGAAGAAAATCTCTTCTGAAGACACTTCGAGTTGAATAGACTTTAATCAGCATAAAAACCACACATTAAAATGTATTTTTTATTAAAAAAAGAAGCTGTCTTTATGTATGTACATACCACAAACTATTTACATATTTACAGAATACTATAACTTGTATCAAGAACAAAAATAAGCGGAGGTAGTGAGGAGTTGGGAAATAGACACGAAGGAAATGGTTACGGATTAAATAACTTGCTTTCTTTACATAAATATCACCAACGAAGAACAAACAATGCTGATCAATGATTGGTTGTTGGCAACAATGCTGATCGGTGATTGGTTGTTGGCAACAATGCTGATCGGTGATTGGTTGTTGGCAACAATGCTGATCGGTGATTGGTTGTTGGCAACAATGCTGATCGGTGATCGGTTGTTGGAAACGGTGCTGATCGGTGATCGGTTGTTGGAAACGGTGCTGCTCGGTGATCGGTTGTTGGAAACGGTGCTGCTCGGTGATCGGTTGTTGGCAACGGTGCTGATCGGTGATCGGTTGTTGGCAACGGTGCTGATCGGTGATCGGTTGTTGGCAACGGTGCTGATCGGTGATCGGTTGTTGGCAACGGTGCTGATCGGTGATCGGTTGTTGGCAACGGTGCTGGATCGGTGATCGGTTGTTGGCAACGGTGCTGATCAGTGATCGGTTGTTGGAGCAAAACTGCCTGTGCTCTCTGGGTTGAGGGGGGGGCGGGAGCTATGGCCTACTCTCTCTGTCAGTCACAGTGACAATAGCCAATTGTTGGTGTCTGTGAGCTCATGTATGTGGAAGAGGGTAGATAGCGCTTTCCTCCACGTGTGTTACGCTTCACTGTAACGCAGCATGAGCAGCAGTTCAAAAAGATGCAGGTGGCTGGCTTCACATGTCTCAGAGGAAGCACATGTTAGCCTTCACCCTCTCCGGTTGGTAGCTGACATGTGATAGCGGAGAGCTGGCTGGTCGGTGGGAATTCGCAGGTGACCAAATTGCTAGAATTGCTAGATGTGTCCCTGGGCTATTTTTTTTTTTTATTTTTTTTTTTATTATTTTTTTTTTTTATGACGAACTAACAGGAGACTAAAAACTTGCCAAATCTAGCACCAAAGTCACAAAGTTGACAGCACTGATTATAACAGTGTGTTAGTCCTGTTGGATGCTGTGTGCTATAATATTTAGTGTCTACTCAGTTGTGGACTGTTCACATAACAAGATCCTGGATTTCAGATGTGATTTTGGGTTTACAGAAAGAGGAAAGACTCCTCTCACTATGGACAGATCATTTGGTGTCTTGGCATATGAGCAGTGTACTGAAGATCTGAACTTCTAACGCTTAGCATGTACAAACCTGTTTAATGTTCCTACAGTCATCGCAGCATGTTTGTGCTGGGAAAAATGGTTCAGTAGTGACTCAGACATCAACATATAAGGTTTTTTTTTTTTTTTTTTTTTTTTTTTTTTCCCCCCCCCCTTTTTTTTTTTTTTTTTTCCCCAATAGGCTTCAATAACAGGGTTCTAAAGGTTTCAGAGAGATAATAGATTAAAAAGCACTGTAAGTATGTCATGGTGTGGGTGGTGCTGCAGTGTTTCTGTGATGGCGTAACTTTTTTTTTTTTTTTTTTTTATTTTGTTAAACCACATCCCTTTGTGCTTGTCTGGAATTTGGTATTTTAGTAG